CCATCCAGTTCCAGGTCTGCGACAAACATCGGCGATCATGGTTCTCCATTAATTTCTTTGCTCGGACGCTCTTAAAAAAGGCTACGTTTCCCTGACCTTTCTCCGTTACCCATTTGTTTAGGTTAACTAAGTAGGTTGCTCTGGGCCTACCCCTGCCTCGTTTGCTTCAGTTTTGCCATTGGGAGCTAGCTGTTCAAGACCTTTATGTCTATTCAGGCAGGGGCGAAGGCTGACTTGTTTGACAGGGTAATCAAAGTGAAACGGGACCAGATATAGATCTATATGGCCTGTAGATATCACAGAAGAATCTTACTCGAGGCGGCGACTCTGAGTTGTGAATGAAAACAAATCCGGAATTCATATTGTATGTTCAACCGCCAAAATAATCGGGAAAGTATCTTATTAAATATCAGTTCCAACTAAAATTAAATTAACTTTAGATGTGAATACATAAACACAAAGCAAAGAAGCAGAGATGTCAGTACTAGATCTATATGTTATAGACCTACCAGAGAGTCTAACTCTTTGGTAGAACATGACAAGTATCATTTTTTAAATTTCACATTTGGCTGTTTTTTTTAGCCTTTCGCGGCCAGGAGCTGGTGTCATAATCGAGGTCACGATCTGATTATAGGACAGTAAAAAGTCGAGGAAAAAAAACAAGCACATGCAGCAGTAAAGAGATTGTTAAGAGTTAGTTCCCCTCACATTTGTGAGGTAGACTCGACCAGTGTTCGTTAGCTTACTTAATCAGGGCTTGGGATTGATTATAACTGTGGCCCCAAAGGGGTGAACAGGGTATATGTGGCAATGAAACAGCCATGCCTGCTATGCACATGTTCCCTTAACTGTATTGGTTGACTCTTCCAGCCTCACTTAAAGCTTACTTAATCAAAGCTTGCGACTGCTTATGGAGTGGCCCGAGAGGGGTGAGGAGGCTATTTATGTGGCCGTGAAACCGTTTTGAATGTTAGGCATACTCATTGTGGATTACGAACCTCTTTTTACTTTTGATTTAAGAGGTTTACGTTTAAGGATGAATTTGACAGCGACAATGTTTCAAAATTAGGAAGGGAAGCAGTGATTATTTGATTATATAGACGCTTCGCCCCTGTATTCAAAAACCGCATTTGTCGTTTCCTGACTGTTTTTAACAGTGAGCGTCCAACGTGGGCTTCCTCAAGCACTACCTCATTCGATTTCTGTTCCTTCCACGTTATTCTTAGCAGTCTCCTAAAAAACCCATTTCTGTTGCTTTTATTCTATTTTCACTGTCTTTTGTGATTGTCCATGCAAACCAGTAACCGCTGCATGACAGATGCTAGTTGACCGTCAGTACGATGAAGACTTAATTGATTGAGTGCATTTTGCCG